GACACCAGCTGAACAACTCTGCGCATGTCAGGACGCCCCAGACCTTGTGACCTTGCGGGCTATTTTCGCTTGCTTGTCGTTTGTCAAGGTCGAGGCCCCTCTACCACCCCCACCACGCACAAGGAGACTAACCTGTCCATTCATACGGTTGAAGCTGGTCTGTGGACTCCTAAGGGACCGTCACGGTTTCTGCAGACAAATGTGCTCTTTCCTGGATGTCTACGTTGCTCAGAATGGTCTGTTTATATTCTCCTTGGAAAATGTGGCAACGGAATCGTCATCCTCACACTCCAAGCAGATGCTGACCAGGGAGGGCTCTACGTCTAACCTATGGCAAATGTCCTCTGAGCTCCCTCTCCCCTCCACCACAGTGGGACACCCAGAAAGCACAGGCAGGGTATTGAAGATGAGTGAGAATTCAGATTATCAAGTATAATTTTCCATTTCTGATGAAGAAATGGAGGCCTTACATGTTTGCCTTAAATGCCTTTGCTAAAGCTTTTCCTTCCGGGCCACAGCAAAGTGACCTTATACTTACCTCTTATACTTGATTTCTATGATGTCCGGCCTCGCATGGCCATTCTCCAGGTGAGAGCCCTGCCTTGGTCCCTTAGAACATTCTGCCTAGACCCAAAGTCATTTGCTGTTTGGGCTCTCTGTAGAGAGCCTCTGACTGCCAAAACTGTCTGGTTCCCATTGCCAAAACCATACTCTTGGACTATCAGTTACTAGTTATGTAGTCTGGCATTCAGATCAATCACCCTTTGACCCATGGACCAGAACATGTTCTCATGTAAAGGATGGAGGATGAAGGATGTTGGATCCTCTTGGTGATTCGGTGGGAAACTTCATCACTGGTACCCTGCCAGGGGCACTTCCACACTCCTGGAGTTGTTTCTACCTGCTGTGCTGTTCCCCGCTGGCATGGATGTGCTCCCGACTGATGTGCTCCTGGCTGATGTGCTCCCGACTGATGTGCTCCTGACTGATGTGCTCCCGACTGATGTGCTCCTGACTGATGTGCTCCCGACTGATGTACTCCTGACTGATGTGCTCCCGACTGATGTGCTCCCGACTGATGTGCTCCCGGCTGATGTGCTCCTGGCTGATGTGCTCCCGACTGATGTGCTCCCGACTGATGTGCTCCTGACTGATGTGCTCCCAGCTGATGTGCTCCTGACTGATGTGCTCCTGGCTGATGTGCTCCTGACTGATGTGCTCCCGACTGATGTGCTCCCAGCTGATGTGCTCCTGACTGATGTGCTCCTGGCTGATGTGCTCCCGACTGATGTGACTCCTGGCTGATGTGCTCCCGACTGATGTGCTCCCGACTGATGTGCTCCCGACTGATGTGCTCCTGGCTGATGTGCTCCCGGCTGATGTGCTCCTGGCTGATGTGACTCCTGACTGATGTGACTCCTGACTGATGTGCTCCTGACTGATGTGCTCCCGACTGATGTGCTCCTGGCTGATGTGCTCCCGACTGATGTGCTCCCGACTGATGTGCTCCTGACTGATGTGCTCCTCACTGATGTGCTCCCGACTGACGTGCTCCCGACTGATGTGCTCCCGACTGATGTGACTCCCGGCTGATGTGCTCCTGACTGATGTGCTCCTGGCTGATGTGCTCCTGGCATTGATCCCCTTGGGCTCCTTGAGGGCCCCAGCTCTGATGGTACATCTTGAAGTCCCCCCAAAGGGCTTGGATGTCACTTACACTTGAGCATCAATTTCATTTCTTTATTTTTGAGACAGGGTCTCACTATGCAGCTCCGACTCACCTGGAATTCACTCTGTAGACCAGGCTGGCCTTGAACTCACAAGATCTGCCTGCCCCTGCTGCCCAAGTGCTGGGATCGAGGCCATTTACCATCACATCTGGCTGAACAGCAAAGTCAACAGCTAACCATTGAGGCGTTCCTCCCCCTCCCTCCCCTGGCCCCGTCACGAGGATCTGTGATGCTCCTGGGAGACATTGGGTGCCAGTTATCCAGTGACAAAGAAGCATCCCAAGCTAGGTAATGTAGGTCTGAGGCAGTGAGACGGAGTGATGGCTTCCGGTCTACACAGCTTGACTGTGGCCTCATCTCCCCAAGGAGAGGGGCTCATCTACAGAAGGTGACTTCTTGTTCAAGCTGCTATCGCTCTAACAGTGAATATGAATTCTAAAAATTAAAGTGTTTGACTGAAATACACCAAGGTGCTAAGCCCATTCACGTATTCCTAAGATGGAGATCGGCATGGCCTTTGGTCTCCAGCCGTAATCCCCTGGAGGCACCCTGGATGAGCTAGCTGAAGATGGCTCACCCATCTACCTGACTTCCATTTCTCCAAAGCCTTTACCACCTGACAGATTACGCGGTGGATCTTCCGCTTATCCCTCTGGTTCCCTGGCGTCGTCCACTAGAATCTAGGCAGTTTCAGAGGGAGATCTTCGGTTTTGCCCGTGGATGTCATCCAGCTGAGTCTGGAACAGGGTCTGGCATACAGTCACCCTGCTCCCCCCTCCCAAGTAGTCTCTGAAGTAAACAGAGACTTGTCCGTGGGCATTGCTGGCCTTCTGCTTTGGGGGACCCCAGTAGACCATCTGCTGCTGAGGCTGCCCCTTTCGGGGTGAGCCTCTGTGACACACACAGGATGCAGGTTTTACCCATCAGGCATTCTTCTGCTTCGGTAAGCGTATTTTTGCTGAGATATGCCTTGGCTGACCTGTTATTCCCCTGTTCTGCCCCAAATCTCCAGCCTCCACACATTCCTCAGTGCCCCACTTCCTCCCTGGTGCGGCTGATCTCAGGGCTTCGTCCTTGAACTATTTTAGAGTTTGCTGATTATACAAGTCGCCACGTGGCTCCCCAACTACCCTCCAATTCCCGTTGCCGTGTCTGCCAACAAGCCTCTGCCCCAGGACCACTCCTCCGCACATTGGAGGGCATCCCCTGAATTTTCTAGAACATGGCGCTGTTAGGACTCACTGTCTTCTCCAGTCGGGAGGCGCTTGGCCCAGACCCAGACCCACATGTACCTCCTCCGTCTTTCCTCTCTCCCCTTCAAGGCGCTTTCAGAGTCAACCAGCTACCCCCACGAGCTCTGGCACTTGCCAGGGGTCTTCTCGGGCTGATGGCCGCCCCACCCCCAGCCCCCATTCAAGGTGGACAGCCTGGCATAGACCATTCTTGCTGGCCCATGTGGTGTGGGATCACCTGAGGCTGAGGACCAGAGGAGTGTCGACATGTCACTTTGTGGTGGCTCTCGCAGAGAACACCAGATGGCTTCGGGACTCCGAGCTTCCAATGCTCCACCAGTAAGCCTTGGGCTCCAGCTACGGTGCGTGCCTGAGTCCATCCGCAGTTTGATCAGAGCGTTATGGTGGCCCGTGTTCTCCACTGTGTCCCTCATTCTCAGGCACCCACACAATGGCCATCGTCACTGCAGGGTCTGAGCCATGTGCTTGTCAGGTAGTCTTCCAAGGGTGGCTTTCATGACGGAGCGACAGCCAGGCTGCCCGTCCCCGAAGGCTCCTGCCATCCACCGATGGGGTTACATATGCTCTTACTGCTGGCCTCAGGCTGTGCCAGATGAGGATAGAACTTTTCTCTCAGCAGGCGGACTGGGCTCTCCTTGTACCGGACCTCTCGCTGACCCACTTGTTGCTTGGATGTAGACATCAGAGACTTCATTTTAGAAATGCAGCGATATCCTTACCAAAGAGGCTCGGAACGCACATGGTTCGAAGGTGGGTTCTTCTGTACTTACACTATCTAGTTCTCAATGGTAAGCCGAAAAGTACCAGGAAACAAATACTGTTTCATACCTTCCAGCTTCTCTGGGCAAGGCTTTCTCAAAGAAGTACCATAGCAGCCACTGGAGAGTCACTGGGTGCCAGGGTGGATGCACGGTACAGCGGTGTTAGCAATGATGCAGACGGACTATGGGGAAAACCGCAGAGACAAGAACGTCCATCCTGCTTAATGCAGGCAGGTTCTGAAGACCACGGCCTAGTGATCAGTTATAGGCCTGCTCCGGTCTTCTCCTGAGGGCAATACACACTAGCCAGGGGGTGCACCTGACAGTACAGTGCACAGACGATGCTTCCTGGGCGGGAACAGACGGAGATGGGGCCTGGAGCCCGCACACATCCTCACACGTGCTACCAGAAGATAAGCAATCCATGAGTGACTCTTTGCATTTCTAAAGTAATTCTTTGGTTTTATTTGCGTGTCTATGCACATTTATATATGAGTGTACGTGCGCGTGGATGCTGGAGGTTGGCGCGGGCTCTCTTTCTCAGCCACTCCCCGTCTTAGCTTCTGAGTATCTCACTGCATCTGTCACTCATGGATTCAGCTAAACAGGCGGGCCAGCAAGCTCCAAGAATCCCCCTGCCCCTGCCTCACCAGTAATGAGGTTCTAGGCATGCACCCGTGTGCCTGACCTTTACAAAGTTCTGGGAATCAAATTCAGGCCCTCATGTCAGCCTAGCGCACATTTTAGGGACTGAGGCCCACACAAGAAACTATCCTTCACTCACTCACCTTCCTTTGTTTATCCTGGGATTCATATGGAGTCCCTCATATGAATTAGGACATGGATTAAAGCATATTTTAAAGTCATGCTGTCCCTATATACAAGGGCCCTGTGCTTTCCAAAGGGGTTATGCACACTCTTGGGCAGCCCCAAGAGGAGAATATTTGGTTTGTGCACACTGACGTTTATTAATGTGGTTTTTTTTTTTTTCATGGCTGTATGTCTTGTTTCAGTTTCGGATGAGTCACTGGCAGTGAGACGGCGACATTCTGTGGCAAAATAATTTGGGGGCCAGTGAGATGTCTCAGTGAGTGGAGGTGACTGACTGCCACCAAGCCTGACAACCTGACTTTGTCCCCCGGGACCCATATGGGAGAAGAGAGACTCGGCTTTCACAGGTTGTCTTCTGTCCTCTTCATGGGCACCATAGCAACCAATCAGTCAATAAATACATGTAATTTTAAACATCCTTAACTCCAGACCCCTCCTCCCTTCTTCCTCCCTCCCCATCTGGCCAACTCTGCGATTACTCCCGCCTCAACTCATGCATATAGATATAGAAAGGTCAATGCCACCCCCCAAAAAAACCCAGCTTTTACTTCCCCATGGGTGTATAGCTAGACCTCTCTTCTGTGGGCTGTATGCAAACTCAGAGGAGAAGGCTGAGGAGAATGTTAACTCCGGTATTAATTTAATGCAGGCCTCGCAACAAAAGTTTAGAGCCTTGACCTTTTTGAGTAAGAGCTGGGTAAACAGTAAACTAAACTGATACAGTAGGTTAAAAACCAACTGTTCGTATAACTTTATTTTAAACCATGTTGGGGAAACAAAATGGGGGGGGGATGATATGGGGGCTGGAGAGGATGTGAGAAGCCTGCGTGTTATCACCAGCAAATCCCTGCACTTGGGAGGTAGAGTCAGGAATATCAGAAGTTCAAGGCCATCCTCAGCTGCACAGAAAGTTGAAGGGGCGGGGAGCGCAAACCACATCTAGAAAATAAAGCCCCCGAGTCAGCCAGAGAAAAAGGACAGGAGCCATCGGTGACAGGGCCCGTCAGGAGTCAAAGGGGCCCGCTGGACAAGAAGTGGTTTCTCTTCGTGCGCGGTTCCCCGCAAGCCCTCCCCTCTTGGGAAAGCAGAAGTTCGCGTACTAAAATAGATGGATTATGCATGCAAGAGTAACGTGTCAGCAAAGCGGCTCTTCCCGTTACTGCGCTCAGTTCTCCGTCTGCGGCCGGCTCTCCCCAGGATGGGCTCTGCCGGCGCCTCCAGGTTGGCTTTTGAAGGGAGCATTGAGGAGCGCTTGCTGAAGCACCTGGCACTGGCTACTGCAAATCCTGTACTGCATTTTCAAATAAGCCCTGCCAGAAAGAAGGATCTGCACAGCTCACCTGGACCAGAGCACCTGCCCCGCTGAATCAGTGCTCAGCATCCCCGTCTCCCCTCTTCCCACACTGCAAATGGACTTAGGGACTGGACCACTCAGAGAGAGCTGCCTGGGTTTCCTCGTCTGTTCCCGATTTTCACCCGCCCCCCATTGCCTCTTAAAGACAGAGAGCAGAACCCAGCCTCCCTTTCTCATCTACTTAGTTTTTTCTCTCCTCTCCAATCAGGTGCAACATCAGAGAAATGAAAACTAAACTCGCCTAGAACCAGGGACAGCATTAGTATCACCGGAGAGCCTGTCAGAAACGCGCATTTCAGGCTCCACCCTAGACCTGAAGAACCAGAACTTCCCTTTCAGTACGATCGCTCCGGTTTGCTAGGGTACACTACAGTTCAGAAGCCCCGGGGAATAAAGCTTAAAAAAAAAAAAACAAAAAAAAAAAAAAACTGGTTTTTTTCTTTGGGGTGCTTGTGCGAAGTTTGGGGTCACGGCGCCACCTTGTGGTGGCTTCAGTAGCTAACTCTTTCTCTCTGAGGAGGAATGGGTACCCAACAGCCGGCTCAGTACACTCATCCTTAGAGGGAAGAGGTGGGCAGAGGGAACAGATGAACAGTGCTCAGAGGTCTCTCCACCACAGTGTCCATCGAAAAGACACAGGTCCTCTTCCAGGGATGACCTCTCCCTTAGTTCAGAAGAGCTGCCGGTGGACACAAGTGTTTTCTGCACCGGAGATGGCAGCTAACGCCTATACACATCCAGGAATTTCTTCCCACTCACATGTTCCTAAAACCATTACATCCCAGAAGCACAAAAGATCGATTTAGAGATCATCTAGATAAGTGACCCCACTTTAAGGGTGAGGATTGCTTTATAGAACGGCTGACATTTACTCAGATGTGCTATACACCGAGAGCTGTAAGTCCCTAGTGTATTTATTCATTTACCTCTCACAATCTAGTAAATCAGCCCAGCATGTGGTCCTCATCGCTAGTCTGTAATCCCATCACCTGGGAGGCTGAGGCCGAAGGATTGCCATGGACTGCATAGCAAGAGTTTATCTTCAAAAAACAAACCAAAACCAAAACCACTGAGAAACAGAGGCAGGAGGACCTCTGTGACTTTGAGGCCATCCTGGTCTACATAGTGAGTTCCAGACCCTCTAGGGCTACATAGTGAAACTCTGTCTCCAACAAACAAACACACAAATGAGGCGGGTGCTCTCTCATCTCTGACCTGCAAGTCCTCATTTGACAATAAATCTTTGTGTATCATTTGTGGTTTGGGGGAAATCTGTGTTAACAAGAAACTATGACAGGTTGAGCATTTGTTGTCTGGAAACCTGGAATTGGAAATGCTCCAGAATTTGAAATTGTTTTTCTAAGACAGATTTTTACTCTGTAGCCCAGGCTAGCCTGAAATTCATGCTTATTGTCATGCCTCAGCCTCCTGTGTACTAGGATTACAGATGTGAGCCGCCACACCTGGCAAAACCTGAAACACAGAGCATCAATGTGATGTCCAAAATGGAGAATTCTGCTCCTGGCTGCATACCAAAAATATTAACAATAGGGGTAGAGTGCTCGTCCGCCATGTGCATGGGCCTAAGTTTGATCCCCAACACCACAAATAATAACAAAAGCAATAATAAATAAATTAAATATTATAAAAAGTTACCTTAAGGCCCTGAGCATATGAAACTGGGTTCCATTTGCTGTTGCTGTGACAACGTAAGAGAGAGAAAGAGTTCATTTTACCCTACAGGTCAGGATATGGTCCATCAGTCCATTATGGTGGGGGGGGTCAAGGCAGCAGGAGCTGGAAGCAGCTGGTCACATCACATCAACAGTCAAAATCAAAGACTGGGCTGGCATGACAGTTTTCTGGGCTCCGGCATTCACCAGGCAAGCCTGGAAACCTGAGTTCAATGCGCCACGCCATGTTAAAGTGCACAGGGACAGAACCAACTCTACAAAGTTGTCCTCTGACCTACACATGCACACCATGGCACACACACATGCACCATGCACACACACATGCACCATGCACACACACACATCATGCACACACACACACACACACACACACATCATGTACACACTCTTTCACATACGCTATTTTTAAATTTGCCTAAAAAGAAGCAAAAAACAGAGATTGCCAGTGCCCGCCCACCATTAAAATGGGTCTTTCCCCATCAATTACCATAATTGAGATAATCCTCCTATCTAGAGGTCCTTTTCCCAGGTGATTCTAAGTCCTATCATCACATGAAACATAAACATGGACATTCTGTGTTTAGACGTGAGACCCATTCCCCAGACATCTCATTATGTATGTGAAAACCCTCCAAACTTTGGGGGGAAAATCTGAAAACTGAAAAGCCCTTCTGGTCCCAAGCACTTTGGATAAGGGATACTCAACGTGTGTTATAGATCTATATTCTTGATAAGTCAATGATTTACCCTTCCACTTTGAAAGGGTTGATATTGATATAGGTGGAATCTACAGTCAATTTCTCCCTTCATTAATCTATGCACTCCAAGGAGGCTAATTGTCCTAAAACACGGCTCTGTTTGGGTTATTCCTCAACTCGACTCTGCACATCTGCCTATAACTGACCTAGGCCAAGTTGGTTGTAAAGCATCATCTAGCGTGCTTGTTGCTATGCACTTTGTATTCCGTAAACTATGGCCAGCCTCTTTCTTTGGACCCTTTGGCTGACCATGAAGAAAGATGGTCTATCAGAAGGCCACCTAGTGGCCAAGGTGACCCTCCCTGGGAGCCTGGAGAGGAGAGTTGGGGCCCACCTAGACACAGGGAGACAGCTCTGCTAAGTCACTGAGTTGGGCAGTCTCTTCCTCAGTCATTTGTGAGTTTATCATGAGAAACACTGAGTAGTTAGCCGTGATAGACTCCGCCAGTGGTACTCTCCTCTGGGACACCTTCCCTACCCACCCCACCCCGAGTGCATCTGAGAAGAACAGGGTCAGAAGGGGCTACATGCATCTTGGTGGTGGTGGTTTCTAGGAGCTTAGAAACAAGTCGTCTTAGAGAGGACGGAGGCTGCAACTTCGTGGTACTTGCTTAGTGGGTATGAAGTGAAGGGTTTGATATCCAGTCCTAAACACAACAAAACCCAAACTAACCAACCAACAAAACAAACAAAGAAACAAATCCCAGGCATTCTCTATGAGGCATCCTTTCTTCCTGATGGAAGATGGAGTCAAGGAGACAGCAGCCATGAGTCTGGGCTGTCTAGTTACTGGATAGAGGTGGTCCTACTTTCTATCCTTCTTCCCTCCCTCCCTCCTTCCTTCCTTCCCTATTTCCTTCTTTTCTTCCTTCCTCCCTCCCTCCTTTCTTCCCTCCCTCCCTTCCTCCCTTTCTTCTTTGCTGAAGATCAAACTGAGCTAGCCAAGTAACCAGTGAGCTACACCTCCAGCCCTAGAAAGCAATTCTGTTCTCTGCAGAAAAGGGCCCTGGCCTTAACACCTGCCTGTAGATTCGGTGATCCTTTGAATCTTATCGGCTTCCTGCCTGTTTCTCAGCCTCTGCCCTTTTATTTATTCTGAAAATATTCAATGTCGTTCTCCCTTTTCTTCTGGGGGAAAAATCATTTAGAAAGCATTAGTGTGTGTATACTGTGTGTCTAGAAGCCTGAGGGCCACCATGGTGCTGCTCCTCAGGGCCTGTCTACCTTGTTTTTTGAGACAAGGTCTCTTACTGGCCTACAATCCACTATGTAGGCTGCTCTGACTGGCCAGTGAGGCCCTTTCCTCCTCTCCAGCTCCAGGAATGGAGGAGTCCCCACTGAGTCCAGATGCTTTCTGTGGTCCTAGGATGGAACTCAAGTCTTTATGCTGATGCATAATGCTGATGGAGCCGACTCCCCACAAAGATGTCTTTTGAATAACAGAACTAACATACTAATGAGTTACTGATAGACCAGTGTTGTCTAAAAAGTCACCCTCAAAAAAACTCACTGACTACAGCCACGAAAATTGTTCCCATATTCCGTGGGTCAGGGAGGTAGCCATTCTTCAGTCACATCTGGTTTAAGTTTGTCCCAGGTGTCTTGACTCTGAACGCAGCAAGCCCTTAAAACATATTCTTGTCATCACAAACTATAGGCAGCAAGGGCACATTAAGAGTCTCTGGTTGGGCAGCTCACATTCTACTACATTCCATCCGTTAAATTAAGTCACATGGTCACACCTGACCATCATGGTGTGGGGTTGTACATTTGGCAAACTCTGAGGCAGGGTACCACAAAGCCACCTTACCAAATAAGGGACACAAATGTCTCACCACGTGTGGAGAAAGAGTGTGAAGCTGGGACAGGTCACCTACCACTGTGAACCAGGATATGATAAAACATTAACCTAACTAATTTTAACACAGTGATGCTGATTAAACATCGATGGCTTGTGCTTCCCATCTCTCAGTTAAGAGTTTCTCTTTTGCCCCAGATCGAAGTGTTCATCTAATTATCCTTTATCAATAAAAAATCGGGAGTCAGATTCGGGGTTAGAACCTGAATGATCAGAGAAGCAGCAGAGAAGCCACCAGTGACCTCCTCTCTCTTCCATTCCCCAATCCCAAAAGAGCTGAAATCCTCTCTCAGCCCCGCCTTAACTACTTCCTGTCTCCTATCTGTCCTCAGTCCTCCAGAACCTCTATGGTTAATCTTGGTCAGCTAGTGGCTGACTCCGCCCTCTGAGTCAAAGTAAACTTTATTGTCAGAATGCAATCAAGGTCATGAGGAAGCCGTCTGTTTCCCAGATGGACAGGACTCACATCTGCAAGGCTCCCCAGGTGTACCATTGCTCAGTAGCTATACGAAAGGCCCTTATGAACCTAGGTGGGGCCTGCGTAGACGGGTATGACAGCAGGGTTGAGGGTGAGTGGCTAGAGTGAATTCTGCTAACAAGACAGTCTATGCTGAGGAAAAAGGGTACAGGGGACCTGGTTGGTCCTTCCAAAGTTCTGTGGATCTCTGGCCAGCACTGTGGTTCTGACAGCAAGGAAAGAAATTATAGAGCTGTGAACCGAGTCAGTCCTGGAGTGATGTTACAGATGTCGGCCTCGAAGAGGGCTTCTCGAGTGAAGAGGCTGCATTATACGGCACCCTAGGAGGGAAGCTTCTTTTGGACAGGCTGGCATTGGACGACAAGGTCACCCTCCTGGAGGTCATCTCCAGTGTGCTCCAACACCACTGCCGTTCATCACGCATCTCTCTGCTCTCTCCCCAGGGCTAGCATCCCCTTGGATGCTCTCTCGCTGAAGTCCAGTCCACTCATGGAATCAGACTCGAAGCATCTTTCTGAGTGTCCGGGTTGGTATTGGTCAGCTCAAGTGCCTGTTCTGATTAGCATCTGCTTGGAGGAGTTTGTCCAAGCCTCCCAGACCTTGCCTGGAAAGTGGGGGGTGGGGCAGGCAGCCTGGAGACTCTGGTCCTAGATTCAAGTTCCATGATATCCTGCCTGCCCTGGACCCTCAGTTGCACTGGGAACGGCTTCTCTATGTCTTTTCTGAAAGAAAAAAAAAAAAAAAACTGCTGTGCCAAGCTACCCGGCTGAGCCAGTTATGACAAGGACTGTATCCTGGGCCAAGGCAGAGTGGGTTGATCACTGCTGTTCTATCCCTCACCGTGAGCTATTTCTTCAGTTCTTTCCTAAGTTGAGGCAGCTATGGAGGGACTTAAGGTCATAAAGTCTGGTTTTCTAGCAACTTCTATGAGTCTGTAATCTTCCAATATTTTACTCAGGGTCCACTGGCCACTGGAAATTTATACAGGAGAATTATAGTTCATGTTTCTTCACATGGAGCCATTAAGATGGGAGAGAATTCACTTGCAATCTGACTGGGGCAGAAAAATCTCTAACTCAAGGCTTCCTGGGTGTTTTAGTTAGGGTTTCTATTGCTGTGAAGAGATACCATGACCATGGCAACTCTTATAAAGGAAAACATTTAACTGAGTGGCTTACAGTTTCAGAGGTTTAGTCCATTATCATCATGGTGGGACACAGTGACATGCAGGCAGATGTGGTGCCGGAGAAGGAATGGAGAGTGGAGAAGAAGCTATATCTTGATCCCACAGGCAGCAGGAAGTAAACTGAGGCACTGGGCACGGCTTGAGCATACATAAGACTTCAAAGCCTGCATCCACAGTGACACACTTCCTCTAACAAAGCCACACCTCCCCATAGTGCCATTCATTAAGAGCTTATGGGGGGGGCAATCAAATTCAAACCACTACACTGGGAATTATGACTCTTCTTGGTTGTCAACTTGACTGCATCTGGAACTAACAAAAACCCAAGCAGCTGGGCATATCTGTAAGAGATTTTTCTTGATTTGATCAGTTGAGGTGGGAAGACCCACTCTAAATCTGGACCGAACCTTCTGGTAGCAGCCAACGTAAAGGACAAGGCAGAAGGAAGTGCTTGTTCTTTGTTGCTTGCCCTCGCTCTCACTGGCAAGTTCTTTCCTTCACTGGTATTAGAACCTACTTCTTCAGGATTCTGGCATGTGCTGAAGACCAGCTGAGACATCCAGCCTTGTGAACAGAATTGCTATTGGATTCTTGGACTTTCTATTGGGAGACAGCCATTGTTGGACTAGCTGGACCACAGCCTATAAGCCATTCTAACAAATCCCATTTTTATAGATATATATAGAAAGATGATAAATTAGATAGATAGATAATAGGTAGATAGA